AAAAAAAAAAAAAAAAAAAAAGACAAATATCAATGAGGTATTTCTGTACACGTACAAATGTATTACAAATTTTCTCTATTTGTGGCAAAAGAATATGTGTATAAATCTCTAAACTTCGGTAACATTAATAGTTTACAAGTTTTTAATAGTATACCACATAAAGAGCTTGAAGTATGGCAGACCATATGACATTCTCATTCATTTTAATCATCGTATGTTTCCAAAACGTCTGCCAAATGCTCATTATCTCTTGGCTTTTTAAACTGTTTTCTTCTATTAACAGGCTTCTTTCGTTTAATCGGCGCTGGCTTCTTGAGTCCATGGTCTTGCATTGACCTGATTCCTTGTTTTTCAAGATATTCATCTATTTTCTGATCATCCATAGCGTCCACTGCAACTCCTCTCCACAATTTTTGAAATTCCTCATCTACAGGAAACTGTGCTGTCTTGTCATTATAAAAGAGAATCTTTTTCTTATCAATTGGTCGCATAATAAATAATATTTCGTTTTGTAAACTCTGAAATAAATAATATTAGAATTTTTCGAAGAAACCAGTAACTGCTATCAAAGAAATATATATTTAGGTTATTTTTACTTTTAAATGTTTATCACAATGGGGCAAACTCTCTTGTACATCTTCCAACAATATACCACCAAGACCCTTCAAGTCATGCTGTTTCAAAAGCCTCAGCAGAGATTTCTTATCTTTTATTTTATACATTGGTTTAAAAGCAAATCTATTATCAGATGTTATTTCAATTTTAGGATTTTTTACTAGTGCTTCGGTCTGTAGCCATTGTTTGACCTATAATTAACAAAATAAGAAATAACTATCGATATAAATTTAAAATAAAAGAAATACGCAATAGCTGTAACTATTATTAAACGTACAAAAGTAGCTGTTGCTTACTTTTGATCCCACATCCAATTGATTTGTTTCATCTAAAATTTCATCTAATGTTAATGGATGGTCATCTCCTTCTTGATGCCTTGCTTTCATATGCTTCACTATCTTGGCCAATACACCAAACTTATATTGGGTACCAGCCATGGGTTTATAATTAACCATGTCCAACTTTGGTCCTGTTGATATCAAAGAAGATGGTTTAGGTTTCTTCTTTGGTTGTTCATTTTTCTTTGATGGTTCATCTTTCTTGATATCCTTCTCTTGTTTCTTGCTTTCAATTCTGTAATATATATTTATATTTATTGCATACAATACTTATGTACTGTCTTGAATAAATGAATACAATAAATACTGCAATAAATACTCACACTGGTGTGTTCAGAGCTCGTTTCTTAAAGAGCTCACGTTCCCTGAATAACGCTGGATCCATGCTGTTATACTTTGTTATAGTTCCTATGCTGCAATTTTTACTTTCATATGTATAATTATTCTGTTGAACTGACTAATCACAGTTGACACTTTATTTAAGTTAATCGAAAACGAGTGAAACTAATCTCTTTGGCTAGTTTCAATCAAATGTTTCATAATTAACCTTACTTTTTGGTTAAACGTTCATTTTACTCCCGAATCGAGAAGATCGACAAGAAAACACGTACGTAAAGTTGTACCGCGCGTTCTCGAAAAAAGTGTAAAAATATATATTAACAAGTAAAACGAGTTTTATATCTCTCGGACACAAGTAAAAACAATTTTATTATTTAAAACTTTTGCTGCCCGTTCTCACAGTGTCGAGTGTATCGGAGCGCGGTATATATTGCAATTCTCGATATCGAATCAGCAAGCGGTACAGATTAAAAGTACAGATAGAGCACGGACCAGAACCAAATGTAACCGACTGAGAGTGATCAAGAATACGGCTTCGTAGTTCCACCATACATTACTGGATATATTAGCGCTCGAAAACGGCAGATACGAAAACTCTCTACATAAAATACAGCTCTGAACTCATTGTCAAATCAAAATAATCAAATTAAAATTAAGCCTATTATATATATATATTTAAAAAATATGTATTAATTATTTGCATTACAGGAGCGTTTACATAGATTTGTAGTACTGAAAGTGCAAGCCGATGTAATCGATCATTGCTCATCGATCAAGAATTCGACGGCGCATCGCATCGATTGTACATATCGATATCTTGCGAACTCTTACTCGCTCTCGAACGCGCGACGCACTTCGCGCGCTTTTCGCGTCGGTTCTGCTGCAGCTTTGTGTGTTTTACAATTCTACGTGTTTTCTCTACGATAGTTTTGTTTTACGCTGGCGCGCAACAACATTCGCGGTGTTTTATTTTGTGCTTGGTGTTTCCAAACAGCATAGAAAAGCCAAAGTACGATTAACATCTTCGAAAAAAAAGGTAAAATAAAATTGTGAAACGCACTTTCTGAGAAAAGGATATAACGATACAGTCGCGCCAATACAGCGCGTTGAAAACGATGAGATAAATATTTTTTGCTTTATTTTTTACGTAGTTTTTGCTATTTTACGTTAAATATATATAAAGATATTATATATATATAACGTGATAGCATCAGAATAAACATTAATGCTTTTGTCAAAACTTGTGACAAACTCTGACAACGACTTACACCTTTTGACACGTTAGCATGGTTTCACCGCACTTTGAACTTTTTCAGGAAGGATTTCCATAATTCGCCAGCGTGGACGTATAAAGTTGACCGTCCGACCGCTTAAAACCTCGACGAAGAAAGTTATCCGAGAAACGAGCGAAGACGCGTCGCGCATATATTAGACGGAGACTGTTTGCGACGCGCGGAGCGGCGCTTTCCGGTAAGTTATACCTTATTCTTATGAATTTCCTGGCAAAGAGAACGTTACGCGTGCATGTAATATCGGATACTCTTGCCATCAGGACTAAAGCGGCATTGCGCCGCTCTCTTGTTGTATTGTGTCGTGTAGAGGCTATAAAAACATTATGATGTAACTCCGGCTCTCCGTCTAATGCGCGGTAAATGGACAGCGAGACAGTGAATTAGAGCGTACATATTTAAGAATTCGTTCATTTTTGCGAGAAAAGAGAAAATAGATCTTTGTTTATCAAAACATTTCAACATAATATTTGAAAGACAATGTAATTCTTTTCAAAATTTATTCTGTCAGAATTGTCAATCATACTCGGAATACCGAGAAATGTAAAAAATAATTCTTTTTTTTTTTTTTTATATAGCTTTCATACATTGCAAAAATCCCGAAAATTCGAAACAAACAGATAGAATCGACTTTTAAAAAAATCTATCTTTTGTCAAAAAACACATTGAAAAAAAGTTTGTTTATTCTTTGGACACGTAACATAAACTTCATATAAAGCATTTAGCTATATAAATAGAAAGTGTGTCTAATCAGATTTACATTAAAAAAAATAAAAAATCTTTAAATAGTGCTAATTTGAAAGAAATTGATCTACCATCAACAACTTGCTAAGTCTCGATAATGCGCGTTTCGGCGCGTGCGTATGAATTGTCACACAAAATGCAACCAAGTCGGCACGACCAGCTGTTAACAAATCCGCGAGCGGAAATAAACTCGCGAACCGTTTTAATTCCGGTCTATCGACGGGATACACGGACGCGTGCGTCGCAACGCGTATCGGTGGCGGTATCGGTAGCGCGACGCGGCGCCAGTCAGCAGGTGCGCGGAATATTTCCGAGACGAACACGCGCACCGCGACTATCGTAACATGCGCGTTAAACGTACGCTTCCACCCCGAACTACCGTCGTGCACGAGGGCGCGACAGAGGAAAAGAGGATAGAGCGCATACAGCGGGAAGAAGGATGGGACGTCGGGACGCCAAAAAGAGAGAGAGAGAGAGGAGGTGAGAGTGGATGCTCGCGTCAGTGGTGGCGGAAGTCGCGACGGAGAGCGCGGGTGATTCAGGAGAGGGGTTGGAATCGAGAGCGAGAGCGCTGCAATCCTCTTTCGCAAAAGGAGGACGAAGGGTGGCTGCTGGTTAAGGGAACTCGCGAGCGGGAAAGAGAAAGGAGCAAGACAGTGGGTAGGTGAAGTGAGGAGCAGGGAAAAAGGAGCGAGAGTGAGAGAAGGAGAGAGAAGGGGAAGAGAGAAAGAGGGAGCGTGCAAGCGAGACGGAGAACAGAGGGATGCTGGGGCGGTTCAGGCGAGACCGAGTTCACGCCGAGTGGAGTACGGCAGTTTGTGTCAGACCACGGAGCTCGGAAGATGCTCCCGCTTGTTCACGTGAGGGGTGGACCACCCTTGTCGCGACGGCGTCGTCGCGCCACCGCGTTCCCTCTCGGTGCCATCACGTCGTCGCACGTACCCGGAGAGACCGAGGGGCACGCGAAAAACGCCGGTGCTGGTGGAATCAACAAACCAGTATCAACTGCCACAATGATGACCATGGCCTTAACCGTCCTTTTGATCTTGGTACCCGCCGCGTTTCCGGACAAGATTACAATTGGTGAGTGTGTGTGTTTGTGCGTTCGTACAACACATCATTAACATTATGTAGTTCGCACAACAAGCGGTTGTATATACACGGCAATTCCTCGAGTGATAGACCTAACTCGGTATACAGTTGTAGATGTTTCCGCGCGAGACGCGCCGAGTTGAGTGCTCAGCCGGGCTCAGCCTCGTCGAGCACGTCGGCATAAGGGTTACTGAACCCGGGGGGTGTACATAACCCGCCGTATATGCAAACATACCGTTTGCTTATGTATTCTAAATACCGGCGCGGCATGTTCCAGCAATAACACCGGCTTCTACTTTCGTTCGCCTTCTCGAGACGACGTCACGTCGATCGCGCCGTCAGAAAAATTGCCAACGAAATAAATAGATCCCGAATGTGCATGACGCGATCTCTATCTCGTAGCGCCATTGCTTCAATCGTAATCGCATACGAAAGTTTTCGTTCGAATTTATTGTACGCGACATTTTAACACATTTTTTTGAAATTATATTTTAGACCTGATGTGTGACGATTCGCCGTACGAAATAATAGTATAGAACTTGAGTCATAATAAAACTCTCTGAAAACAGAAATCTGTCGATACCGTATGATATATGTAGCAGGTTAAAGAAACCTTTCTTGTTTCACGCCTTTTTTGCATTTCTTACGTATCAGTACCGTTGTGACATTCTCTCACAAGTGTTTAATATTTTCATTTCCTCGGTGTTTCGTTCTTTGTAAAGAAGTAACATTTTTCTAGCCGATTTATTTCAAAAGATTGTCGAACATTAACGTTTTTTGTTTATTTATATTTTATCACGCGCGATTGAGTATTACATGTAAAATGTTAAAAATAATATCCAAATTTTTCGTGTACGCGAAAATTAAATTAGCAATACAGCTATGTTCTCGTTACACGTTACACACATTTACATATTTAAATCCACTTATTTTTTCATAAATAACTACGGTGTATAAACAATTTTTTTTCATCATAAAGTATTTTTTACATTTTTACATAAATTATTACGTACGTGCGTTGTGTTTCTGGAACGTTCCTAAAATTACAAAATTTTCGAAAGATATCGAAACTTTCACACGGAGAAACAATATACAGTATTTACCAAAGAATATTTACTAGCGCAATACGTAAAAATATATATATATAGAAACAAACTCTGGTAGAAAGTACAAGTTCTTTTCCATCTTGGACAAAAAGTTCCTTCTGTCTGTTATTTTGATAGAAAAATATTGACAAACAATTATGGATCTATAGATGATTTAGCTGCGAGATGTACGGGTTCCTATTGAATCTCTTTTACGGTTTGGAAACGGAGAGATATGAGAAAATAAGAAGCCAAAGAGCGCGGGTAAAGAAAAGACACAGGACGAACGATTGGGAAAGTTTCTCATTCGAGGGAAAAGGGAATCGAACATGTCACGGCGATCTCAAACTCACACGCGAAAGTTTTTTCTGCAGGCAGCAATCGAGTTTTATAAAAAAAAACAAAAAAAAAAAAAAAACAAAAAAAAAAGAAAAACAAAAAAACGTAAAGCGTTTTCACAAGCGTTACTCGAAAAATATACAGATGGCATAAATACTACCGGACGCAGTCTGTTCTGATAAATATTGGAAGCTTACAAAACATTTTTTTATTGTCAATAACATCGCTCAATGTTTAACTTTTTACGTACTTTTACTGCACGTTTATTTATATTTCGACGTATGACTCGCATAAATATTGTCGTCGCGATACGCGTTCACATCATTACCAATATTACAGATACAAACATTTTTCGTGTTTCCAACTGTTTTCGACGGATGTGATATTACGATATTTTGATGTGTACTCAGAGAGCGCGGTCGTGCTATAACCCGGGAAAATATATATATATATATGTATATGTATATATGTATACATACATATATATCTCGACATGTCGAGATTGTAGTACTGCGTATGTGTAATAGCAATAGCGGTTAATCAATTGATTTGTACCAGCACGTCTGTGTTTGAAACCTGTTTCAAACCGTTACGTATAAATACTTGATATTTTTAACTCGATATATACCCCGTTAGATATCTCTCTCTCTCTCACTCTTCATAACAGCTTACATTCCAGTGTATGTTGTGTATATTATCTTCCGCTGTCGAAAATTAATTCCGATATCGATGCGTGTGTTAACTGATCGGTTTGGATTGTGAAGTAGTATTATTCAGAACTGAAATTATACTCGACTACGAGAATTTGTACGACTTATTTGTCTCCCTTTCTCTCTCTCTTCTCTTAAATCACGCTATGTGCATCAAAATAATTGCCTGGGATAGCAACGAACCGCGAGGCGCGAATTAACACAGAACGACAAAGTGCAAATTCCGTAATGAATGAAGATATTAAAAATTGGCCGAATGTCATACGGTAGTTCGTACATTTTTAAACGTAATGACATGCGCACACACGGGGGCGCGCAGAAATAACGTCCATAGAAATAATGTCACACAACAAATGGAGCAATGCAATTTAATCGGTATCCATGAATGGCGCGCATCTGCTCGCGCGTAGTCGAAAATCGAAACGTATTGTAATTAAATCGAGCCATCAAAAAGCGTTTAGCAAGGTTCGCATGAATTGTGCAAAATATTACTGACGCCGATGGATTACCGCGCTGTGCGAATGTTTTCCGTCGTTCTTCTATCCTCATAAAATATTCCGCCTAGCTCTTGTGTGCCCGCTCTCTTGTTCTTTCGCCCGAGCTTGTCGACACACTCGCTCGTCTCTTTTCTTCTCGGCTGTTTCCCCTCGCGATCAGAAATCCTTCGATAAAGTCCACTGCTTGTAGAGATGCGAACGAGATGCTCGTTTAAAAGCACGACGGATTATCGGCATTGCCGATTTTAAGGGCCGGGCAAAAAGAATGGGTGAGAAATGGAGAAACTGGCGGAACTAAAACAGAGACAAGTACATATAGCATTGACATAGAAAGGAAGAGAAGAACAGTGCAGAGAGAAAGGGTATACCGTGAAGCACGTTGAGCGAGCGGTGAATAATGAATGTCTATAGAAATGACGGCATCTCTCTTCCGCAGTTATGCGAATGAGGAGAAAGCGGTAGTAGGTAAGTCGACGAAAAGACGAGGAAGGTTGTGGCAAGGGAGAGACGGCCGTGACGTCGACACGATGTAGCGTACGTTATGCATAGGGTTCGTTGCCTCGTTGAATTATACCGCACACGTGGACTACGTTTTCTTTCTCTCGTGTCGTTGCTTCAAAGAAAACGCGTTGCTAGAGCAAGTGCGTGTGTTAGAAGGTGCGTGCGAAAGGGACAGTGAAAACATCGGGGAAAGATAAACGGCTGACCTCGATTTGCGCTCGACGCATCGGATATCAACGCTCCAGTTAACATCCGCGCGATGCACACGCGCCGTTGGCGCGTTTTTTCATTAAAGCTGTAAAATTAATGCGCATGCAAGCGTGCATTCGTAAAAGCGCAGGTTTTCAGACTTCGTTTTTTCATGTTTATTACGCTCGGCTATAAGGTAGCGCTAAAATAGTGCCGAGCAATTGTAACGTCGCAAAAACGATATTTTCCGCCGCATAAACAACAAGCATCAGCGACAATTAACATGGCTCTCCACTTTGCGACACAAGACATCTTAGCAATATAATACGTCAAATTTCTCTCTTTACTCTTAATAAAATTTAAAAAATTCTAAAATATACATAAATATATATATATATATATATATATGTATATATATCTTTATTATGCACGAGTCGGTATATCTCCGCACATGTGAAGATATGCAGCGGAGATTATTAAAAGATTTAATCGAGTGAGGCAGCAAGTACTCGAGGCGTTTTCGGAATGATACATATATATATATACACACGTATGTATCCAGAATGCGCATCCACTAGCCGTATCGTGGCACACGGTTAAAGATACTCGGCGTGTGATGCCTTTGTGAAGGAAGGCAAGGGCATCTACCACTCAGGCGGACCGCGTCAGTCGCCTAATACGATTAATAGCACGACGTTGCCAGACAAGGGAGACAGGAAACCCGTAGCGTCCGCGTCTTTCCATGGAACCTTCCTCGCACATCGTCGAAGAATTTGCCTTCCCGGTTGCCAGAGGCCGGCAGGAAGACGAAATCGAATTTTCGTGCGTTCGAGGTATTGCGCGAGTTAAAACGGAAGTCAGAGAGAGAGAGAGAAAGAGAGAGAGAGAGAGGGAGAGAGGGAGAGAGAGAGAGAGAGAGAGAGAGAGGAAATTCTTGCTCTGCATCAGGAGGATTCAAGCATCCGCACTGCCTTCGTTTGAAAGTAAGCGATTTAATGGTCAAACGGCCGAAATGAGTTCTTAGAACTATGCGGACAATTTTCTTATATCTCTCGATAGACGGGAAAAAGAAGTTATTTAATTGTGCGCAATTGCGACTTATTATTATTACGCGTATCTCTCTTCTCAAGAACAACGTAGGAGAAAGACGCAAGAGAAAGATCCGCTTAATGGTATAATGGACTTGTGAAACTTCGTTAATAATTACGATATTAAAAAATGTAAATTTCTCCTGTGATGCGAAATGGTTCTAGTTGCACACTGATATAATTTCCGAGATGAGAATTAAACGGAGTTACACAGAGCAGAGAGAAAGAGAGAGAGAGAGAGAGAGAGAGGGAGAGAGAGAGAGAAAGAGATAAATTAGTGTTGATGCTTGCAGCAAGAATTTCCCTATTATCCTTATTGCGATCGGGATACAAAGGAGAGCGTTCGACGAGCGAGCAACGTTGGAAACGTCGGAATGTCCTCGTGCGTGGTGCATCCGACTGCCAATTTATTGTTCGCATAATCGGCCGCGCAATCGGGCCGCGCGCGTTATTCGGGCGGCCGTGTAATGCCAGGTCGAGCTGCGCTGTGTTTCTATAATTGATGCATTGCCCTCCCTATTAGAATGACAAAACCGTTGGCTCGTATACGGTCATCGACGCATATTCCACCCCGGGGGGTTT